GGGCTGACTGTCTTTGATATTTGGGAAGGCAAGAGTCCATGGGCTGCCAGATCCCTGGCTTCTTTTGGGGGTGAAAGGACTCTGGATGGAAAGAAGGAGGCCCCACCTGAGACAGCACATGGTGATAGTGACCCCAGGCTTTATGTTGGGCTGCAGAGCCCTGATGCAAAGCGCTTTTCTCTTGAGCATTTATAGAAGCAATTTCTCTCAGCCTTAGTAGTACCCTGAGACCTAAAAAAGCGACTTCTATTGCTAGCTTTGATTGCTTTAGAAGATTAAGACACAGAGAGGTTAAGCCACTTGCCTGAGGACAAACAGCAAAGTAAGTCAAAGCCTGAAGAATTTTGTCTGGTGAGGCTGGGTTGCCTTGTGTTGCTGACTGTCAGTTCCCTAATAGCCAAGATGGGAAGGCTTGCCCATACTCTCAGGTCTCACTCATTCATTGTGTGCCCAGAACCCACAGGGCACTTCCTGGGAGGCACTGAAGACAGGAGGAGCTCATGAAGGTGTGAAAGGAGATACTGGGACACTGGGACCTCAGTGCTTGCCAGGAGGCAGCGCATCACTACTTGCCTCTGATGTCTGCCCCTAAAAGCTAGAAATGTCAATCAAGGGACTCCAGGAAGAAAGTGGGGTGGTCTGTGATGGAAATGAGCGAAAAACTGAAGTAGATGCAGTCAACACTGCTGAATCCTCTGTTTCCCCCAAACACCTTAAAAACAAGTCCTGCGTCTGCTCAGTGCTTTCCAATTTACCAAGTGTTTTCATAACATTATCTCATTTCATCCTCACATCAACCCACACACCTTCTTGCCTTTCAGATTTCTTATGTACCCAAATGAGTTTCACTGAAAAATTGGCTAGAAGCTCCCCTGTCCTACTCACTTTTTTTTTTTTAAATCCCAAGCCTTTGACTGATATCTTTAAGAAGCTCCCAGATTCCCAGGGTGGGAAATTAGCATATTCTGCCAGCCCTGCCCTGCTGGATGGATACTAGTAGTCCTGGTCTTTGCTATTGGAACCAACACTTTTGTATTAAGTTCACATATTAGTTGTTCAAACAAACAAAACCACAGAGGCCATGATAAGTGTGTTACTGTGGGGAAAACATAGGCTTTGGAACCAACAAGCCCCAGAGTCAGATTTTGGTTCTACCATTTGGATGCCACGTGGCCATGGTTGAGTTACTTAACCTCTCAGAGCCTCTATTTTTTCATCTGTAAAATGGGACAATAGCACCTATGTCTAAGGTAGTGGTGAGGTGTAGATGTGGTAACAGAGCATCTCAGCAAATGTTGCTCCTTCCCTTCCCCTATTTTCCTCCACAAAATCAACTACTTCATGAAGTGCCTTAGAACTAACCAAATACCACTTCCACCACTACGAGGCATATTAAGTGCAACGCAGTCTTTTTGCAAGCCAGAGAGAGATAAAATGTGCGGATATGTTGCTAAATGAATTTAGATAGAGATCTTTTTTTAAACTAGATGAATAATTAGCTACATGTCCTGCACTGCAAGGCACAGTTGCAACTGTGGTAACTTAAGTGAGATCTTAAGTTCATTACCTTTATTTTTAAAATTTTTTAAATTTTAAGTGGGGGAGAGAAGGAGCTGGGATACTGGACTTACGTAATGTTGGAAAGCAAGGCAATTCTGATTACACATGGATTTTTACTGAAGCAGAATTGCCATTCAACCCCATAGTCCCTGAGGACCAAGGTGGGAGAAGAGGAGGAGAGCAGAGGGCTCTGGCTGGTGTTTAGTTCACTGATCTGCACACAATAGATGCTCAATGAATGCTGGTGATGGACTGAGGCAGTTTAGAGTCCAGATCTCATGTGTGACCTCTGCTGCTGACTTCTTGGCAAATGAAGTGGAAGACTTAGTGTTATAGTGGAAAGAACATTTGAACAGAGGTCAGAAGGCCTGCCTTCAAGTTCCATCTATACCACTTAATAGCCTGGCAACCTTTGACATGCCATTTAATCTCTTAAGTGTCTTCTCACCTGTAAAACGAGGAGACTGGATTAGGTGATTTGGGAGGTCTCTTTCAGCTCTAAGATTCCGGGGCTCAAAGCAACTTCATTCGCTTGTGTTTCTGTTTCTTCATTTATTCAAAAGCAGTAGGGATAGAAACCTATCTTACAGGGTGTTGGAAAGAAATGGTCAGTGTGCATGTTAAAATATCCTGTATCTTCAAAATAAACCAGGAAAAAAAAAAAAAACACCACCAACAAAAACCAAAAACAAAAAAAAATAAGGATTAAAATTCTCTGTATTTTTAGAGCTATGAAGAAAATGCAGTGGCCCAGAGCAATGTGACCTAGTGGGAAGCTGCGTGTACGTACAGCCTCTGAGTTCCAGGTCCCGCCCAGCCACTGTCTAGCCATGTGATGATCAGCAGCTCTCCTGACTTATTTCAGCCTCAGTTTGCCTATCTGTAAGCTGTGGACTGTAAGTTGTTCTATGCTCATCTTATCACATTCTTTTGAAAGCCGAGATAATGAAAATCCTTTGAAAAACCGTAAGGTTCTCTATAAAGTAGTATTATTGAGAAATGGCATATTTGTTATGGCTGTATCAAAGCTTAGCACAATGCCTTCCATACTTTCAAGTGAATGAATGTGTCGCCATGGTTCCAGAGGAGAGACAGAAAGTATAGATTTGGGGTTACAACCCAAGGCTTATTTTTCACTCTAACTTACTAACAGGTGAAATTTAGCTAAATAGGCATTAATACAAATTTTCCCGTAGAGTAGGCATCAGGTAATTAGCTCAATGTTTTCCAATGTAGGGAATTTTTCCAGAGGCCAGATAATTGCTGGTGGAGGTCTTACTTTCCACCCTCTTCTCCAAAATGAGGTCATTTAACACTTAAGGTCTATGGTAGGAGGAGGGGGAGGTAGCTTTTGGAGTTTTGAAAATTTCCCAAGGCAATAATCACAAATATGTAAAGTATCATGACAGTCTTTCCTCCCAGGGCTTGCCCCGGACTGCTCCTGGGGAGAAATGGCAGAAGCCTTCGCTCTGCTTGCCCCAGGGCCCAGCTCAGGCACTCTCCTCTGAGTGCCCCAGAAAGTCCCAATCTGGAAATCAGCTCTCCTAGCATTGGCTTCTCCTTCGGCTACCTAGATGACATGCCACTCCTAGCCAGCACCCTTCAGGAGCTTCCCCACCATATGCAAAACAAACGGCCCCTCTGTTAGCAGTAACCCCACACCTGGGGCATCTCCTGTTAGCACCTGTCCATGAAAGCACAGCCCTCCACCAGGATACCACCCCAAAGGAGCAGAATGGAGGCAGTACTTTGCAGCCCCAGTCAATTTCTGATTTAGTTTGCCGGGTGGGGAAAAGTGCCTGAATTTCTCTTGTTGGAAGGGACAGCTAGGGGCTTGTTAGAAGGCTTTGTTTTCATAGAAAGCACACTGTTTTACTCAGTTTGTATATATGAATGATTGATAATAGCAAAGTTATTTTGAATTCAATTAGTCTTATCAATTTTTATCGATTATTTTTATTTGGGCTGGCTTTGGAAGGGACAAGACTGACGAAAATTATGAGGCCCCCTCCTTCAGCCTCATCATAGTCCTGCCACCGTTAAACCCTCACTAGTAACCCATCATCCTTTTACCTGAGATAAGTTTATGTATTTATGCTTTTAAGCACAGATATGTGGATTCAATACATTCACTGCCTTTCTTTCAAAACGCTGACTTAAAAGCAGATTTAATTTTGCTTAGTTTTTGATAGCCTCCCCCTTTCCCCAACCCCTTTACACACATGGGTCAGGGTTATAAAGCTGTTTTGCAGGAGTAATTGAAGCAGAAGCCACAGAGGGGCAGCGCTGGGTCCCATGATCCTGGCTCTGGTGGCTGTGCAGCCTGACCGCCTGGACAGACCCCGGGAGCTGCAATTCCTGGGCAGTGTAGGAGGCATTCAACTGAGGCTCTTTGTTTCTGTTGTCATAGAGCGAGCAACTCTTTGGAGTAGATCTGGGAGTCAAGGCTGGTGGGGTGTGCTTGCGCACCGCCCACCCGCACCCTTGCCCCCGCCACCGATCGTGCGTGTATGTGTCCGGTGGAAAAACCCTAGGACGACACCACACCTTTCTCCTACACATAAAACCTTCCATGGGTCTGAGGACTGCAGACCAGTCCCTGGCAAGCCAACGTGCCCCCCGCGGGTGCTCGGTCCCCCCAGCTCCACGTCTCTCCCGCCTTCCCACCGCTGCTTATTCAGCCGGCTCCTTCTTGCGCAGCTAGCCCGGGATAGCAGGGACGATGCGGGGGGCCACGATCGCAGTGCCGCTGGGGGGGGAGGGGAGGGGGCCGGAGGCAGATTTCAGCAAGAGGCCTAGTTTGGGAGATGAACGCCGAAGAGGGGTCCCGAGGTGAACGCGGGGACCAGCGAGTGGGTCAAAGGAGGGAGCTGGCGCCAGGCGGCCAGGGTGCAGGAATGGCGCCCTCCCCCAGCACAGCGCGGCCACCCAGCGGTCACGTCCGGAGTGGGCCCCCGGCGCGTTCAT